TATTGGAAAACATAAAGGCTGCATTCAGCGTAATATAGAGATCTGTGGCTGAGATGTGCGAGCGCGCAGGAGCCACAGATCTCTATATTACGCTGAATGCAGCCTTTATGTTTCCCAATAAAGCGCCTGGGTACGAGGCTGACATGTCATTCAAACATTGAATTAGCAACGAAACTTGTAGAACTCAGAGGAGCTCGGGACAAATTCGACAAAACGGAAAAATATTAATGGCGGCGAAAGAGCTTGCGATTAAGAGACATGTCGAGACATTGAGAGAGATAGTAAACGAAGCCAACAAGCTAGTACGAAAAATCGAGGCAGAGAAAATTACAGCCAAACAAGGAAGCGACGAGACTGATGCATGGATCGAGGAAATTGAAAGAGAGCTTAACGAGGGCGATGAGAAAATAAGTATTTTGGAACAGTGGTTGAATGAAACGCGAGAGAAACGAGAATATAGCGATCACAAAAAGAAAATGGATTTTGAAATTGAACTTCACGATGGCAAGATGAAATTACAAGCTCAGCAGATTGACGAACCGTCAAAGAACAGACGTCAGATGAGATTTCTACCCCAAAAATGCAAAACTGCGGAAACTGACAATCACAGTATTTAATTGATCGTATAGAGACTGGCAGAGATTTGGGGGGCAGTTTTCGGATAGAATTGACAAAACTAATATATCCCCTGTTGCAAAACTCACTTATTTGAGGGAGTTCTTATGCGACAAATTCAAACGTGCGATCGAGGCTCTTCCATTTAATGTGGAGGGCTACAACAGAGTGGTTTCAATTCTCAAGGATAGACTTGACAAGGAAAGCGAGATAGTAAAAACGTATGTAAAAGAGATCCTTGAGCTTCCACGTACAGCAACATCAAGTCCTGAAGGGATGTATGAATTCTATAAGAAGTTACCATATTGTTTACATTCACTTGAGACTATGAAAAAGTTGGACGCTGTGAATGGAACTGTTGCCATGGCATTGGATAAACTACCAAACATACGGGATGACCTAGTATGAGGTGATTCTGGTTGGGAAAACTGGACCTATGTTCAACTCAACGAAGCATTGCCACTTTGGACTCGAAGGAATCCTGTCAGTGAAGCACAGAAACCAGATGATTGGAAGAAGATTGTGGTGTAACCAAATCAGATGGTCATGAGATAAAGAAGACAGCTCATGCTGGGGGGGATAATTGAATTATCTATCCAATAGTGCTAGTGGACGTGGATGGGATTATAACACACGCACTGCTCGATACTGCAGCTGGAAGCAGTCATGCCTCAGGCTGTTAAAATAAAACGAATTGAAATGATGTTAGGATCTACCACCATTAGAGTAGAAGTTTATGCAGCCCGCATAAAATCATTAGATCAGAAATTTGAGCTTGATATTGAAATGTCGAAAGTCAATAAGCCTGAACTAATGAAACTCAATCCAAATTATGCCCGCTTGTTAGAGAGATGCAAACATTTGAATGGTTCAAAATTTGAAGTGTTACCTGCAATGCTTGAATTGAAGATCGTTGCAAGAATCAGTACAGTACAACTGCCATCAATACAACGGCGCATGGCGTACATCAAAACCATTTAGTTCCCGTTTATCAGTTTATTTATCTTCACCGATATAGCCAGGCAATTAAACTTCACAACAAGTCCGCGAGTACAACCCTTTTCAGCCAAGTTGGGTCTACCTATACAATATGTTGTAGGCTTACTTTTCGACCGTTGTATGCGTCTACCGCAATAGTTTTCTCTCTATAATTGGGCATGATTTCCGGATGGGGATTTTTTTATTTACACTTGAATGACGTATATTTGATAAAGATTATTATAGTTGACACAAGTCGGCGAGGCTACTTCCATGTGCAAATATTCAATCTCTTCGAACCACAGGGGCGAAGACTGTAATCTGCAAAGTTTTTAAAGCAAATTCCCAAGTGAAATGTCAGATAGGCTCGTGAATTACCAAAATTTAAACTGCGATCAGTTTCTCTTGGTTTGCTGAAGGGGTTCTAGTTGGCAAGTGTAGTGTTACTCCATGATAACATATCATATGTCACGTCCTGTCAAATCTGGACCACAGGATCGACGACAGGATCTTTTCGTTGTTACGCAACTTGGGCCGGTTGTATGAAAGCCGGTTAGCGCTATCCACTGGATAGTTTTTTTTCAATAGCTTTAAAATTGCCTGTTGCTAGGTATAGACCAATTGCGAAATTTAGTAACCGCTTTTTGAGGATGGATTTGTTGTCGAAGGATACGGTGGTGCTCCTTTCCTGAAAAACGGTGATTCAGGTTCTCTTGTGTTCTTTCGTGATGAAAAAAATGCGAAGCAAGTATTTGCTTATGGTGTTTGCGAAGTGAGTGCTGACTTATTACCAAAGAAAGGTTTCGCCTTCCCATCGCAAGAACTTGCTTCAAAAAAACAGGCGGAAGAAACAAGTTTCAGCCAACAACAGGAAGAGGTGTGTTCCGAACAACTCAACCCAGCAGTCACGACATCGCGGGAGCATGCCGTTTCAAAACAGCACATCACAGTACCCTCGACATCACTGGAACAAGCCTCGCCGAGGCATAACGGAACAAAGATTTCTACCGCGCCCGATCATACCTCCCAAGAACAAACAATTAGTTCCAGTGATTGTGAAAGCGGCAGCAGTAGCCCTTGGAGTGAAGACAGCGATGACGGAGGAATTGTGTTCCAAGAGGAGAAAAATGGGTTATATATCTGTTTACCATTATACACTGCATTGGAGAAACTTGAGCTTTTAGAAGCAGCGTGTTTTAAAGATTGTGCTAATAGCCGGTAATAATAGGAGCTCCTAACTTCAGAGATTATTGAAAATATAACGAGTCAAATATACAGCTTCTTTCAAACTTCAGGTGTTTTAAAAACAACTCACATTGTTGTGCTCGACCTATATACGTAGCTTTTAAAAATAAAGCAAATAGCGTTCTTAGTTTCTAGAAGAAAACAATTTGAAACTTAGGAAAAACGTCGCTCTTTTCATGCGCCGAACCTAATGCAAAGGAGCTCAACCAAAGACTTTAGTTCATTTTCATTAGGTTCGAATTCGGTGCATGAAAAGAGGGACGTTTGACCTAGACCTTAGTTCCTATTATAATTAGAGCACGCCCAATTCAGCCGTTTAGAGAGCCGTAGCTCCCAACACTTCGGAGATAGGCAAACAATTGGGCTAACGAGATTTGTCTTGAGTAAAATGTGTGAATTGATGGATAATAGCGGTAATGACGTCATATTTCTGAGAATTGGTTAATATATGTGGCACGTTTCTTCTCTTTTAGCAAAAATCTCCTTCCAAAAGTCCAAAACCTTAAATCATTGTATATTTATCTATTTTATTGCCCACAGGTTAGAATAATAATAAGGTATACATGTCCATATGTTAGTCTAGTTTAATACATTGTTATTTTTTTATCAAATATTGCGCACTTAAGAAATGTATTAATTAGCTCGTAAACCATATTCTTGCATGGAATGTTTCAAGAGTTCAGAAAAGTGCGCGAAACAGGAGCCGAAAGTGAGTGATTTTGCGAGCTTTTCCTAATTCTCCCAACATTCCCAAGTGTTTGGACCAGGCCATCCGAACACATGCAGAAGCCATTAAGTAATTGTTTTATAAAATAACAACAAGGTAGTGTCAGAGACTAAACAATAGATACAGAACTGGAACCAGTGTACTCACATTTTTATGCGCATGCTTGGCAAGTGCCATAGATTTAAAGTAGAAACAATTCTGCAATTCATCTTAAGTGTGTAAAATGCAATATAGATGACGATATTGTAAAACTCGAGCATGCGCAATTGGTCACTTTTAACTCACGTGCACTAAAAAAAGCAGGTACAAAACAGCTCTGTATCGTTTCCTTTCTCTGCGGTAGTGTTCCAAGCATAGAGATTATAAATAACACTAGAGGAGGCATTGGTATCGAAAACATCAGTCGAAAAAGGGAGCGCGATAATGGAGGGCAAATTCAAGTGCCGGTGCAATGCTCTTGTCAGCTACCTCTGTAGCTCAGTGGCAAGAGCATTGCACCGGCATTGCAAAAGCGTACGTACGATTACTGCCGGAGGACATATAGTTGACACTGCTAATCACTGAGCTCCATTTCACCTGAAGTGACGCTTGTCATATAATAACACCCTTTAAAACCTCTAGAATTTACTTACATCGAGTGAATGCCAAAAATCATAATCGATTTACCCTTAACCATTCCCGGCATTACCAAATTACACATGCATTAAATAAACACGCTTGCTCTTGCCATCTACCTCTGCAGCTCAGTAGGCAGTCGACGATTCACGACGTTGCCAGCTCAACGACGCGCTTGCGAAACAAAGAAACTCAACACGCGAGAAAATAGGTATGCATAATTTGTGGTCCCACGATAGCGTTGCCATCCCAGCGACGCCTTGAAATAAGGCAATTTCACGGCCTCTCGACGACATAAAGCAGCTGCAACGTGTTAGCTGTTTGATAGCTTATATGAAACTGCAATATCAGCTAGACATCAGAGGTTCTGAGCATTATTGAGATGTTTGTATGAATATTTCAAAGCCCTGGCAGCATAATTAATTTCTCGTAGCCTTTTTCCAGCAAATTAATTGACTAGCGTCGTCGAGCTAACCGCGTCGTAGATCGTAAACTCCCTAGTGGCAAGAGCATCGCACCGGCATCGCAAATGCGTAAATTTGATTCTTGCCGGAAGAACTGTAGTTGACGCGTTTTTCCCTTCAACTGTTCATTAAAATGAAAGGTTCGTTAAAATGAAAGGGCAACTTTGGTTGTTTACCATTTACATGGAAATTCCAGTGATTCCATATGGAAAATAAATGGAAAAAGCATATTTCGAAGGCTCAACCAGAAATTTTCCGGAATAAACGGCTTGTTTGAAAAGGTTGTCCTCTCATACCGATTGGGAAGTTTCAAGCGGTTAATTCTGTCCGTCTCAATTTTTTTTACCACTTCCAGGCTCCTCACGATTAAATTTACGCGGTAATTTAAAAAATCAATGTATCGTTTCAGTGCAATTCATACCTCTTCAGCACTGGAGACCTTCCTTTACTGGTACAATACGATTGCGTGGCAATGAACGTGGTAAGTAAAGTAATTCTAACGAATTTGTTTTTAAGTTTGCTTCCTTTTACAACAGAAATGACACCATTGACTTAAAATAAAGATGTCAAAAATTAAAGCCGTTATCTTGGAATTGTTAAATACTCAATGGATTCCGGTATAAATGGAAAGCGCATAATCCGAATGGGATTTTTAACAAATATTTTGCTTACCATTAGCACAATTTCAAACCGGATAGGTTTCCCATGTAAATGGTAAACAACCTTTGTTCCCCTTGTCCCTGCTAGCAAAAGGCAAGGGGGCAGCTGCCCCTCCTGCCCCAACTGCTTCGGCATCCCGGGTTGAATATGCGAGACAAAAATTACAAGAAAACTACACTGATGTTTATAAAGAATATGCAAATAAAAAAACATACTAAGCTACTGTGACGAAGTAAATTTTATGATCGGTCATGAGCAAAGTTAAAAAACCCAGCACGACTTCCAGGGAAGAGAGACAGATGTCCTGTAATTATTAAGCAATCTCGGTTGTGGGACAGTTAGCAATTTCTGTAGGTAATATGACAGGTGAGGGTCGTTCTGGAGTGTCGTAAAGTTCTGTCCCATTTCCCTCTTGTACCGTATTTGTTTTTAAGCACAAATCGTCGTACGGAACGAAAACATTTTTGACATGACGTCCCAGGACGTCATAAACATGCTTGCCAGACTCATCAACATTTCCCCATGCGTTTCGAAGCCATTCAACCGCCAATGGTGGAAATAGTTGGAGTCTGTCATACCAAGATCTCTGCGAAGAATGTGTGTTGACATAATCTCTTCTCCACAGCACAACACCACGCGAATGTTGTGGAATCGGATTTCCATCAGGTGTAAGATTGCCGTACTCTGGAGGGCGGTTCTCTGGAGTTGCGGAATGTGAAGAGTCTATGAGGATTAAAAAAATGCTAATACCAATTTACCAAACTTTTTACCTCTTTTTCCTACCATGCTTGGTGATTGCAACGCTGGCGTCGTTGAAACTCAATAGGAAACATCGCAGGAAGTTGAGCATTGAATGAGAAACAGGGGTAAACTATGTACTGACTGAATGTTAGCTTGTATTATGTGTCAGTCACAAACTTATCAATAATTACAAATTTACACCTATATTACATCTTTACATTTACATTTAATCATGTGCGGACTAGTTCACACTGTAATTGTAAATATTTTTCAGTGCCACAGGCATACATATAAGCCCAGTTTTCAGCATTCGGCCCGTTTCCCGAGCCCTATCGACGGTACTGTTTGGTTTAATCGTCGCAACATACTCTCCACATTTTTTAAGCGGATTGAAGATAATGACGCGGTTTTGAATATGACTAAGAGGACACGTCCTTCCAGGCGAGACCAATGGATCCGAAAATAAAACAGTTGTTATCAAACTATAGGGTGTATCAAAAAAGTGCAAGCCTCCCAGGTGCCTACTATCTTTTGTTATGGAATAGAAACGAACATATATGAATATAAGGTGGCTGCCGTTTTATTGATACACCCAGTACTCAACGAAGTATTAGCTGAATGTGAGCCGTATTTGTGTAAAGACAGTTGGCTACGGTATTGATCTGAATGAATCAGAAACGGTAAAGTAATATAGTCAGGCACAGTAATATATAATCACCTTCTTTGGCTTTTTGTTTTCGAATGAACAAAACAACTGCAATGACAATCACGAAAGAAACAGTAGCAATGATGATAGAAATGGTCCGGTTTTTGGAAACATTTAAAAATTCGCAAAAAAAATTGTTAAAAGATTGAGTAACATAGCGTAACAGAGCAAGCAAGATATTTTTGAAAGATTTTGCAGACTGAAAATGTTTTATGAAAAACGAGCATGATTATGCAGGAACTTGTGAAACACTAAAATGTTTTTGGTGAGGAATTTTGCGTTTTACCCGGATGTACTAAGACCGAAACAATGGTTACCTGAGCAATGTTTCATCTCACATACTTGAACCCGATAAGCTGCTCCCTGCTTACTACAATTCTCACTAAACTCTCCTGGCGGAACATAACATAGTCGCGTCCATATTTCAACACCTTGACCACACGTGACACTGCACGGGGAAGACTTTGTCCAGTTGCCATAAGTACCAGCAACTGCAAAATGAAAATTAGAATGAGATACTTCGACGTTTTGTAAAAAATGTGCCAATTAATAAATAGACAACATTTAACCCTTGTCTGTTCAGTTATGGAACCCAAAAAGTAGCCACGCGCTGCCGAGGAGACTGGTAACTTTTTGTTCTTATCACTAATGGCGTCAAACCGTGTATCTATTACTTAACAGACAACGGTTAAATGTTATCTTTTTGTTTTCTATAATAAAATCGAAAAGGTCCCAAATTAAACAGGCAAACAGGTTGTTTTTATTTTCCCAAATTAGTGCAAAAATTGAAAAGGTAAAAATTATGAGCATATCACGCATAGAGTTCGTGATCTATTGGTTTGAAAATGCGATTAGCTAATTTACAACCCTTGCTAAAGTGTGATTGGCTGACAAAATGAAAAAGTGATTAAATTCGTTAAACTTTTTGTGACGTCATTCCGTGCAGCAGTCTTCTAATAGATCATGGCTCTTGACCAATGAAATGTTACGTATAAAAAAGACAATGTAACGTTATTATATTAACAGCTAGTGACTGGACGTTATAGAACTGAATCAACTGATGGAGCTTCGTGTCGACGATTAAGCCAGATTTTAATGCCAGAAGCGCTGAATATCATGGTGTTACTCTTCAGCATGTATATAGTTGGTTTGACTCTTACTTTGACAAGTTTTTCTTTTACATTTTCTTAATTCAGCCGAGTTTCCCAGCCCACTGCAGTTACTGCCTCCGTATTTGGGTTTAGGATTATCACAATTACGTCGCCATATCTCCACTCCTTCACCGCACGAAACATTGCAAGGAATTCTAACACTCCAGTTGCCATAACCACCGTTTACTAGTAAGAAAACCGGCACATTAATCAAAGTTAGTAAACAACTTGAACGTGGTGTGACCAGTATTGGTCATTTCTATGCAAGGGTGGCAAAGGTGGTAGGGTGAAAAAGACTTAGGCACACACATGAAATGACAACATAATTTTAGTCTGCCTATCCGGGTTAAGTTGATGTTTTCAGCAAAATCATGATGTTGTCATTGATGGTACACTTAGGCTCGTGCGCATCATGAAAAACCGACTATCATCGCTTTTTGCGCCCGGTTTTAGAATTTTAGGAATTATTTATACTATATGTAATGAGGACTTGAACTAAATCTAATTCTCAATTCCCACGCGTATGTGATAATTAAATCATTTACAATGTGTTAATTTCCTGGACACAATCTATTGGTTTGAATTGCTTCTGCTGGTCAATGTTAAAGAAACAAGATAATTTTCTGGGGTCGACTATGCTAACGGCTTATATTAGTTATGCTTGAACAAGATAATATTTCTTTACCTGGACAGGGTTCAGCCAAACAGGATCTGTATTCAACTGACTCTCCGATTTCACTGCAATATTTTCCGCCAAACTTTGGCTTAGGTTTGTCACAATCTCGTTGCCATGTTTCAAAACCTTCGCCGCAACTCACATTACACTTATCTTTTAATGACCAATTCCCATAATTACCGTCAACTAAACAACGTAATAAATGTACTGGTGCTGAATACGAACAGTTTTTGCCCTATATGAAATAAACTTAATAAAATCCATTGTTGGTTGCACTTTTCACCCCTCCCCCTTTTCTCAGTAATTCAAGCCGAAGCTGTAGTTTGAAATCGGCACCGCACGGTAGGCAAGCAGCCCTTCCTCCCGCCCACTAATTACTTTTCTAATATAACATTTATATATAGTGCGCACGTACTGATTGGTCGAGAAGCGTACTGTGTGCTTCTATTTAACAATTTGTCGACGAAGGGGAGGTGTTTACAAGCCTATATTCACTAGCCGAAGGTGAAGTGAATGAGTATTTTAACGTGCTTGTAAAAAGAATAAATAAAGCTTAATGCATATTAGGGCATGTGTGTAACAAAGTTATGAATACTAATTAAGATTGGTTGTATCAAAGTTAATATATTAATTAACAATTCATGAGACCTTTATGGAGAATTACAAATGTATACATGTGACCAAAATGCTGCGCAATGATTGCAAGATAGACTCATTAATTATTCATGAATTTCACAAGGCGACTAATTGTTTTAGTATAAATTTCCAGGTGTTTACAAATAACAATCAACACAATTTCATAAAAAATTATGATTATTTCAAATTGCTTATTTGAAAAACAACGAGTAGCCGACCAGTGACTATCATTTCAGAGACAGTGAATCTTAGTCAATCAGAACGGATGAAAATGAATAGTCACCTCGAAATTTATACTAAAGCTGTACAGAAACGGACGTAGAAAAATTTTTTTGCGTTATAAAAGAAAGAAAGATTTTTTCTATATTTATACACAATTATAGAAACACTTGTAGAGTTTTGGAGAGCTCGACATAACGTAGAAAAACTCGCCCTACGGGCTGCCTCGTTTTCCCACTGATTATTATGTTTTCGTTTTCTTACGTGGCTTATAAGGCAACGCCCAAAATTACAAAGAATGTCTGTACCGAAAGTGCATAGAAAACGAAAAAGAAGTTCTTCAAACATCTGAAATAAACCTGCATCACCTGGTGTACATTTAGGAATCTCACAGTACTCCCATCTTTTGTTCCTATCTGTAGTAAAACACCAAGGCCGTTGTCCTGAGTTCTTGGGATTACGACAGTTATTCTTGGCGTTATTTAATTCTGGATATGTGGTGTTCATGGTATGACGATGTGGACATTGTTCTGTCCATGATTGGCATGGAATACCCGAAGATGTCACTGATATGTTACCATTGTAGCTGCTGACAATCTGTGTGGAAAAGCGATATAGCAGCTGTAGACAATAAACTTAAGTAACCGTGTTTACTGTGTGTCATTTTTTCCTCTTTAGAACGAAACGATATTCTTAAAACTATAGTCACTGAGGAGAACTGACACTAGCATACTGATCTATCATGTCATCATTAGCGCTATATTAAGCTAAGAAGATTTCAGTAACTATGCTATTTGGCATTTCCTATTTTTAGAAAATGCCGCATAATATAACAGGCATGGATGTTGTGTGGCTTCAGAGTACAAAAAGATTCATTTGTGAATGTTTCTAAATCCTATTTGCATCCAGTATATAATAAGATTGATAATTGAAATTAAAAATACATTCACGCAGAGTTTGTTACTTGATTGATTCGTGTAGCAGCTTGAACATAAATCAACACTTACCTATATTTGCACTTGTTCCTACTATTGTGAGTCTATCTGGAATATTACATTGAGAAAATGCTAGTAACTGCCTCACAGTACTGACAAAACATGTAATCAACGCCGCACAAAAAGATATAGGTTCTGGGAGTGAAATTATCGTTAGGTTGCCCAAGCAATAAACGTCACAATGCGTCAAAAATCTTGAATTTTCTTAAAATGCACCTCAGTGGGTAATTTTTTTCAGGGGATAAAGCATTTTTGAGTCAGCTCATAGGACTTGCTTTCTATCATGCAGCATAGAATTAATTTAAACATAAGAAAATGATTTACAGATGTGTCAATTCTACCTGTTGTGTTTCTGAATTCAGTGTACCAGCATTCTGGCGAGTCACCCGCATTTCGGACTGGTTGTAGATCTCCAAGTATGAATTTTTTCTTTCTGGTGTCGCACCCGACCACCGAATTGAAAAATACTTTTTAAAAGTCTCCCTGATGCTTACATAGTCACATAAGTGGTACACGTTAACGCGTGTTTCACGACAAGCTGCCTTCTCTTTATAAACACTTTGCGTTCTGTCACAACTCGGAAAAAATAAATGACAAAGGTATATATTTAGGATTGGAATGCATATTCGCACTTTGGTAACGCTAATCTTCGAATAAAGACTTATTTTTAACTCCCCAAGCCTCTCGAGAGTGTCTTGGACTCGGTTTAGTTCGTTGTTTTTCGTATTTTGTCGAGAAGGAGTTCGAAAAACGTAGTTTGATAAAAATTCCGTGATTTTTACAAAAAGGCCGAGTGAAATTCACCAAAGGAAAACAGGAACTTGAGTTGAGTGTTGGCTCAGCTTCGGCAGGAATACAAGTTCTATAACAAAAGAGCAATAGCTGACAGCATCACATATTTCCCCTGTCGTCTGGCGAAATAAAATATTTTCTTGATTGCCAGTCGTATTTTAAGACTACGCGAAATCTGCAATTCAATAAGACTTTGATATAAGAGAAGTTTGATAGAATTGATTTAATGAATTTACTCATGCTTGAAAAGTGTGTGTAAAAATAAGAATACGGCACTTCTGTTTCGTGATACGGCACTTCTGTTTCGGCGCATACTATAGAAGCTTCCTGTGCCATTCTTGAAACTCGGAAGTGGCAATTTACTTAACATTTGGGAATGAATCCCTCAAAATGAAAGAGCGTATCTGCAACTTTGCCCCCCCCCCTCATTGCCTGACCCCAGTTCCAGTTGATATTTCACCCGTTTCGTCTCTTTCCATACGGCTATTAGCCAGTAAAAAACACCCCAAACGGACGGGCTGTTTGCCGTGTAACGTACGTACGTTTGTACGCTGAGTTCTGCCAATAATTATAGTTTCTACAGAAATTCTTTACCTAAATCTGAAGTTAAACGAAAAATTAAGTTTATAACTTTAAAGAATGAAGAAGTAAGATACTGAACTTTAGAAGTACATGAGATTCTGCTGGAAAATGCGAATATTTTTATTTGTTATGAATTTAATTCTGGAATAAACGACGCCATCTTTTGCAACTACAAGATTCTAATAATGTTTCTTTGGGCTATGAGTCAGTCAATTGGAAAAAGTTTACTCTTATAACAGTTTTAACAGTTTTATTGTGGTATTTTTCTTTAATTTTTCAAAGGAAGGCAATTTTGTTAGGCATCTGGCTTGATGATATAACTAGTATGGGGTACATATTTATTTTGGTTTCTTTATATCAATGGTTTATATGAATTATGCAACTTTGCAATGATTTCTAGGTAAGGACTGCAGAAACTGTAGGTCATAATATTATGTCAAATATGTACCATTAATAGTAATATTTGCTGATATGTGTAAAAAAGTTGCCTTCTGTTCCTGTAGTCATTCATCATCATGATGGTCTCACAGAAATGGAGAAGGTTGCCCAGCCTACAAGGTTTTTACAAGAAGGTAATGATGATGAGATACATGAGCAAATTATATCTTGTGAAATAGAAGATGAAGGATTAGATGAGAGGATCAGTGAAGTTGATGGCACAACTCCTTATCAAAAAGCCCAGAGAAAACAAAAAGGCTTAGGATGATATGAGAACAGAAATGTTCACTATAGAACTGACCACGGAAGTAGAGACATTTGTAGCATACATACTTCGTCATGCAAGAACCATGCATATGCAAAATAAAAGGTATGGTACTTGCATGTATATATAAGTTCTTGACATATATATGTCAATAAATGTTGAGAAGTAATTTAATGATTTTGATTTTTATCCACAGGCATTCTTAGTGATTGTAGTGTAGAGTGTGCAGTCGTGCAATCTTCCTCAGATTGTTCAGCTATTGCAGTTTGAAGATACAAGCAAAGAGGAATTTTCAAATAATGTCATATTTCTTTAATCCTATCCTTTCTGTTATGAAAAATATACGTAATAAATAAACCATTGGGTGTGTAGTGGTGGTGTATTGTTGTCGATATTGTTCTTGACAAAGCCTTTATTGCAACCATAACACAAAACCATTAATATTATAACTATAACATTTAAAACACTGCATGAAGCTCTATAAGACTATAACATATACCTATATTGTATAGTACATGGTGTATGAATGCTGATAGACAGTTTGCACCATGAAATCATATTCACGGCTGGCAGCCATATAACGTACGTCCGCTGTATGGTATATAGTGTAAGAATGTTGATATTAAAGAGTTTGCAAAATGAAATCATATTCACGGCTGGTAGCCTTATAACGTACGTCCGCTGTATGATATATAGTTGTTGAATGGTGATATTAGAAAGTCTGCACCATGAAATCATATTCACAGCTGGCAGCCATATAACGTACGTCCGTTGTATGATACTGAATGATGTATGAATATTGATTTTAGAAAATTTGCACCATGAAATCATATTCACGGCTGGTAGCCGTATAACGTACGTCCTCTCTATGGTATATGGAGTATGAATGGTGATATTAGAGAGTTTGCACCATGAAATCATATTCACGGCTGGCAGCCGAATAACGTACGTCCGCTGTATAGTATATGGTGGTGGAATGATGATATTAGAGAGTTTGCACCATGAAATCATATTCACGGCCGGTGGCCTTATAACGTATGTCCATTGTATGGTATATGGAGTATGAATCGTGATATTAGAGAGTTTACACCATGAAATCATATTCACGGCTGGTAGCCTTATAACGTACGCCCGCTGTATGGTATATGGTGGTTGAATGATGATATTAGAGAGTTTGCACCGTGAAATCATATTCACGGCTGGTGGCCTCATAACGTACGTCCGTTGTATAGTAGTATATGGAGTATGAATGGTGATATTAGAGAGTTTTGCACCATGAAATCATATTCACGGCTGGTAGCCGAATAACGTACGTCCGCTGTATGGTATATGGTGGTTGAATGGTGATATTAGAGAGTTTGCACCATGAAATCATATTAACGGCTGGTAGCCGTATGTGCTATATGTGGTTGAATGGTGATATTAGAAAGTTTGCACCAGGAAATCATATTCACGGCTGGTAGTCTTATAACGTACGCCCGCTGTATGGTATATGGTGGTTGAATGATGATATTAGAGAGTTTGCACCATGAAATCATATTAATGGCTAATGGCCTCATAACGTACGTCCGTTGTATGGTACATATTGTATGAATGCTGATAGACAGTTTGCATCATGAAATCATATTCACGGCTGGCAGCCATATAACGTACGTCCGCTGTATGGTATATAGTGTATGAATGTTGATATTAAAGAGTTTGCAAAATGAAATCATATTCACGGCTGGTAGCCGAATAACGTACGTCCGTTGTATGATAAATGATGTATGAATATTGATTTTAGAAAGTTTGCACCATGAAATCATATTCACGGCTGGTAGCCGTATAACGTACGTCCTCTCTATGGTATATGGAGTATGAATGGTGATATTAGAGAGTTTGCACCATGAAATCATATTCACAGCTGGTAGCCGTATAACGTACGTCCCCTCTATGGTATATGGAGTATGAATGGTGATATTAGAGAGTTTGCACCATGAAATCATATTCACGGCTGGCAGCCGAATAACGTACGTCTGCTGTATAGTATATGGTGGGGAATGATGATATTAGAGAGTTTGCACCATGAAATCATATTCACGGCCGGTGGCCTTATAACGTATGTCCATTGTATGGTATATGGAGTATGAATCGTGATATTAGAGTTTGCACCATGAAATCATATTCACGGCTGGTAGCCTTATAACGTGCGCCCGCTGTATGGTATAAGGTGGTTGAATGATGATATTAGAGAGTTTGCACCATGAAATCATATTCACGGCTGGTGGCCTCATAACGTACGTCCGTTGTATAGTAGTATATGGAGTATGAATGGTGATATTAGGGAGTTTGCACCATGAAATCATATTCACGGCTGGTAGCAGAATAACGTACGTCCGCTGTATGGTATATGGTTGTTGAATGGTGATATTAGAGAGTTTGCACCATGAAATCATATTAACGGCTGGTAGCCGTATGACGTACGTCCGCTGTATGGTATATAGTGGTTGAATGGTGATATTAGAAAGTTTGCACCAGGAAATCATATTTACGGCTGGTAGCCTTATAACGTACGCCCGCTGTATGGTATATGGTGGTTGAATGATGATATTATAGAGTTTGCACCATGAAATCATATTCACGGCTGGTAGCTGTATGACGTACGTCCGCTGTATGGTATATGGTGGTTGAATGGTGATATTAGAGAGTTTGCACCATGAAATCATATTAACGGCTGGTAGCCGTATGACGTACGTCCGCTGTATGGTATATGGAGTATGAATGGTGATATTAGAGAGTTTGCACCATGAAATCATATTCACGGCTGGTAGCCGAATAACGTACGTCCGCTGTATGGTATATAGTGGTTGCATTTTGATATTAGAGAGTTTGCACCATGAAATCATATTAACGGCTGGTAGCCGTATGACGTACGTCCGCTTTATGGTATATGGTGGTTGAATGGTGATATTAGAAAGTTTGCACCATGAAATCATATTCACGGCTGGTAGCCTTATAACGTACGCCCGCTGTATGGTATATGGTGGTTGAATGATGATATTAGAGAGTTAGCACCATGAAATCATATTCACGGTTGGTGGCCTCAGAATGTACGTCCGTTGTATAGTAGTATATGCAGTATGGAGTATGAATGGTGATATTAGAGAGTTTGCACCATGAAATCATATTCACGGCTGGTAGCCGAATAACGTACGTCCGCTGTATGGTATATGGTGGTTGAATTTTGATATTAGAGAGTTTGCACCATGAAATCATATTAACGGCTGGCAGCCGTATAACGTAAGTCTGGTGTATGGTATATGGAGTATGAATGGTGATATTAGATCGTTTGCACCATGAAATGATATTCACGGCTGGTAGCTGTATAACCTACGTCCGCTGTGTGGTATATGGTATATGAATGGTGATATTAGAGAGTTTTCACCATGAAATCATATTAACGGCTGGTAGCCGTATAACGTGCGTACGCTGCATGGTATATGGAATATGAATGGTAAAATTTTTTCCCATCCACACCATGAGTGTTTACCACCATCACCTTTGGTTTAAATAAAATGAGGCACTATATACCATACAGCGGAGATACGTTGGTGCAAACTCTCTAATATCACCATTCATACTCCATATACCATACAGAGGACGTACGTTATACGGCTACCGGCCTTGAATATGATTTCATGTGAAAACTCTCTATCATCGACATTCAACCACCATATACGGTACAACGGACGTACGTTATAAGGCTACCAGCTGTGAATGTGATTTTCATGGTGCAAACTGTCTAATATTACCCTTCATATTACATATACCATACAGAGGACGTACGTTATACGACTACCGGCCTTGAATATGATTTCATGTTCAAACTCTCTAATATCAACATTCAACCACCATATACCATACAGCGGACGTACCTTATTCGACTGCCAGCCGTGAATATGATTTCAGGCTGCAAACTGTCTAATATTACCATTCATACTCCATATACCATAGAGAGGACGTATGTTATACGGCTAGCAGCTGTAAATATGATTTCATGGTGGAAACTCTCTAATATCACCATTCATACTCCATAGACACCGCGGAAATTGGTATAGGCTTAGCCGCAATTCTCGATACTTAGACTTTAAACTTGGTGAGAAAAAGATTTATAAATATTCAAGAAAATATGTCTTGCACAAAAGATTGAAGCTTGCTCACGGTAAAAACGAATCGTCTGAATTAATAACCTTGTGTATACTTTAAGCCTCAAAATGGCCATTTCACAGCGGTCAGATGTGTATGATGAGCTGTCAAAAGATTGCAGAATGCGTATTCAGAAGAAAAATTGAACTTTTTTAAGATATTCAAAAGGTTTCTCTTTGATAGGGCGATACAGAAATGCACAATTGTGAACCAGCGATTAGATTTTCGGGTTGAAACGTCTTAAACACCAATTTCTGCGGTGTCTACTCCATATACTATAGAGAGGACGTACGTTATACGGCTACCAGCCGTGAAAATGATTTCATGGTGCAAACTCTCTAATATCACCATTCAACCACCATATACCATACAGCGGACGTACGTTATACGGCTGCCAGCCATGAATACGATTTCATAGTCCAAACTCTCTAATATCAACATTCAACCACCATATACCACACAGGGGACGTACGTTATACGGCTACCAGCCGTGAATATGGTTTTATGTGCAAACGCTCTAATATCACCATTCATACACCATATTAAACCATACAGTGGACGTATGTTATACGGCTACCAGCCGTGAATATGATTTCATGGTGCAAACTCTCTATCTTTCCAAAATAAATGCGATATCTGAGTTTTTCACCGGACGATTGTGCTATGTTGAGTGAAGCTCGTTGATACTTTGTCCCTTTGTCCCTGGTGGTAAAAGGCTGCACGCAAAACAGGGTCTATTCTATACATGGGCGTAGGAGGTATCCAGAGTTTGGGGGGCCATGGGGGGACCAGCTTCCGGGGGCCGTTTTGGTTAATAAAAGGGCCTTTAGGGATGGATTGCCTGCCAAAGCTGTAAGGACACCACTAGCTAGTGTGGTTTATATTTGTTCTCTATATTCTTATATTTTTGGGGGGAGAGGGGGATGTCTCCATCCGGTTCCTAGGTACATCTTTATAGCACGCGTATCATGTGAACAGTCTCAGTATCTCGGGGAAAAGCCCGCATATTTTCGTATGTTGTGGCGCAATGTTATTTCAATAACAAAATGTATTTATCGATTTTTAGATGCAAATATTTCGCAAATGAGCTCTTTTTCTGCAAAAAAATTCCCTCCAGATATTTCACCTGGATATCAGTGAAAATTTCCTTACAGCAAGCCAGACAACAGAGGCCAGACAAGGGAGAAATGCCGGAGACAACAGCGCACAATTACAGATCAATTTATTATTATTGATAGCTAGTTTACTGTAGCTAGGGAAGGTGCGTCATTTCCGATATCCCCAGATCTTGCAGCCTATTCCCAGGCCTTGTAAACGCGCGCTGCAGATCTTGAGCACATCATGAAGTCTGGGGCGACCGTACAAGCGTACGTACGTTTTACGGCTGCCAGCCCGTACGTATTAGCCTTACGGCTATCAGCCGTATGGCTTAGATGAACCGGATGGATATTTATATGGGGACTTAAGGTCTGTTCTCACGAATCACGATCCGTAATATACGCTAGATTATGTTGGTTTGTTGCCCATAGGCTTTCAAGTCAATCCATCATGAGTGAATTGGATCAAACAAAATTGGTTCGTATAAATAGACCTTTATAGTTTATACAATTCTGGCCTTGAACGCTCAGAATTGACCTTTAAGCAACTTTGGCCTTGAACGCTCAGTGGGAGGGGTGTATATTCACACGTTTATGATTGCATATCGTAGGAACAAACACTTTGAAAAGAAATCAGTCGGCCATAAGACGAATTACGAATATATATACATCCCTAAATTAGCTATGGCCTTGTTTAAACTTTCATATATCATCGAATTTCCAGTAGAAATTCTGGTAACGTTTACAGAGTTCAGGATAATATTCGCATCTTTCAAACCCCGCGTGGTATACACGTGCGTGCGGTTGGGAAAGACAGCTGGTTCATTTGACGTAATCAGGATATCGATGTTACTGCAGAACGACTAACAACATTATATCAAAATAATTTTACCTGTTTTTTCTTCGATGCTGGTAATCAGCTGTAAGAAAAAAGTGGAAAATAGCTTATGACTTAATCTACAGCGATGTGAAATGTTATAGAATTTCAAAAGACTTTACCAGCAATACTTGAACAACAACAAATCATTAGTAGAATCAAACCATGTCCAACAGTGTTGATAATTTCGCCAACATTCATAGTTGATGCGGCGTGGAATATTTCCTACATAGTGTGGATATGGATCCAAAGCCCGACTGAAAACGTCGCCAGAACTTATTTCTGTAGTCGTGGTTTGGTAGTTTGTGAAGGTAGAACCACTGGGTAGAACTAAATAACTATTTATGCAAAGGCAATGCTTACTGCCTAGCTTTTATCTTGTAATTCTTACGTTTCAATAGCTGATTGGCTCAACTGATTACAACCTACAATTATGCTAAGACTTTCGAACTTACAATGCCAAAAATATGGCATGCATGTATGCTATCGCGCTCAGCATGAATATTCGTAGTTATAAGTCATAATGCTTATACACAAAATTTCAACAAAATTTATTAATAGAAAATAAGATATTAGGTAGTGTCTGTTGTGGCTCCTTTGCACTGCAATCGTGCTATTAATTGGTGATTATTAATTAACGGATTATAGCATATCGGCGCGTTGACGTCGATTTCTCAATATTCCCGTGCGTTTTTCTTTTCCAAAATACTGTGCAGCAGCGTATAAAACGAGAATTTCACAGAACCGGGAAGAGATGGCGCAGGCAAAACATTGACACATGAATGATATTATGAGAAATACATACAGTGGCTTTCCACAAGTTTAATACAATTTCGCTCTTTTAAAAAAACAAGAATGTTATATGCATGCATGGTCATATGCATGTCTGATGTTTTTTATGCTCCCTATTTCGGACGCTCCTTGCTCGAAATGTACTAGAATAGTTGTTGTAGACTATTGGGAGGATGTAAATCTCTGTATACGCATTTGAACCATGTGAGAGTTTATAATTTGCTATATGACAAAACAAAATATCTTAATGACATATGGGAGCTAGTGTATTTAACGTTTTGGAAGCCACAGTACATAGATAAAAGGGGCATAATCTTAATTGATGTTTGTTGTTAAACAAATGGATCCAGGCACGTCATCCCGCTCGGTTTTCGAAGCTCGACTATACCTATGCTGTATTGCTGTTGAAAACATTGCCATTCATGCATGAAAACTATAAATTGGCAAGGATTTAGAGCAAAATGATTCCGAGATTTTACTACAACTGAAACATACGAATTTTTATATAATTATATTCAGGCTAATTAAAAGACGAGATCTCTTGCCTATTGTTCTCGTCAAAATGAGAGATGTGCTGCGATAAGGTAAATAATCCACTGTTTATGTTTATGTAAAGCTTCATATCTCAGCAAAACATTGACGCTGACTTTTAGTAGCACATATTTGCGTTTCCCATATCCGTTTGGTGAAAAAGTATTTTTGAGCCGTTTATGATGTTTATAGTACATAATTACTGTCACTGGGCCGTAGCCAAACCGCTTCATTTGGGGGGGGAGGGGCGTTATTCAAATACTCATGTTTACCTACAGCAGGCCCGGAACAATAGCTTACAAAAGAAATCAGTCGGAAATGATGAAAATATGAATAAACACCCCCCAATTTAATTAAGCTTCTAGCTATGGCCCTGATTACTGGCATCGTGAGAACAGTGCACTGGGGGCAAAAGAGCATTTGAGGGGCTAATAATAATAGACTAGGGTTTCTATTATATATTAAAAGTATTCTAATAGCATTCACAATCAGACGCAATCACATCGATCATTAAAAGTATGAAAGTATCTAAATTGATACGGTAAATACACGATTTAAAATAACAATCAGATAATGTAAGTCTAAAATAAGTGTTTACTACAATTCTAACCCCACACAAAACCCGCCTGGGGCATCTAAAGTTGTCAAATACGATCTGCTATCGTTTCTTTTGAATTTCGAACGCCCTTTACAAATTACTGGAAATTGTTGTAACGAAGTGAATTCTTCGAAGTTTAATCGGCCACATTTAAAATAAGACACGCAGGAAAGAGAGTCATGTATGTCCTGTGATACATGATCAAGCAATCTCAGTTGTGGGAATACTAGCAATTTCCATTGGCAAAATGACAGCTGAGGGTCTTTCCGGAGTGTCGTAAAGCTCTGTCGCATTTTCTCCTTGTGCCCTATTTGTTTCGAAGCACAAATCGTCGTATGGAACGAAGACATTTCTGACATGACGTCCCAGGACGTCATAAACATGGTGGCCAGACTCATCAACATTTCCCCACGCGTTTCGAAGCCAATCAACAGCCAATGGTGGAAATAGCTGGAGCCTGTCATACCAAGAGCTCTGCGAAGAATGCGTGTTGATATAATCTCTTCTCCACAGCACAACACCACGCGAATGTTGTGGAATCGGATTTCCACCAGGTGTTAGATTACCGTACTCTGGAGGACGGTTTTCCGGAGTTGCTGAATGTGAAGACTCTTATAAGGAATATAAAATGCTAATATCATCATACAAATATTATTAATTCTCTGTTTGTCATTATGTTTGGTGATTAGAGTGGCGTCGCCAGACCAGGAACGCGGAATATTATGAGGATAATACGAACCACTGCAGAAATTAAGAATTGAATGAAAACCAAGGAGTAAATAATCCCCTGACTCAATGTTAGCTTATAGTCTGTAAGAGTAACCAACTTATTAGTTAAACACAATATATGTATTCATAGTTTTTCAGTTGGGGTTAGCTCTTACTGCTGTTGTAAATATGTTTTTTAGTAGCACTTTCTGCTCTGTAATAATTTCATGTCCAGAATCCACGAATATATCGCTTCATTCTAATCGTTCTGTATAAGTAGTTGGGTAAGGGTTATGGCCAGATTTAGGATTAAAAATTACGTTGATAAGTGGATTCTGGACATTAAATTACAATTACATGTACCTTGTATCCGAGAAAAAGTACACGAGTTCAGTTTTGTTTTGGCCCAGGATTCCGGAACGATTACCCCGTTTCCACATCCCCCTCTCCCCAACGTTACTTACTATTCGGCACAATAATCTTTTCGCACTTTTCAAAGTTATTTATTGAAGATAATTTCAGTTTATTAATCGCCAGTTTCCCATTTAATTTAACCCCTATACGGATGAAGGGGATAACGCCAATGACGTCACAGTAGGTTGCCACGTGAACATCATGTGGGAATACGCGATAGTTTCATGTGAACTAGTGTACGTGATGTATTAGCGTATAATGACGTGACACTAAATGTACCACTGAGCTATATAATAATTCCTGGAGGACCGGCTCCTCCCATTTCAGTAACTTTGTCCGCCATCTTTTTGAAGCAAAAAACATGGCGGACTTCACCCTTCTGCGCAACCGCAGAAGCTCTGCTGACGCCACTTGGTTCCTTTTCGCCATGGTATTTACCACTGACCAGGCTCAATTCTGAGCCCCCTACAGCAGCATTCTCCATCCTGGATTTTCTAAATAACATTTCTCCCCCCTGGTTTATATGAATTTTTTGCCGAATTTTGTTTTTGAAATAGTTTTTGTTTTTTTGATATATTTTTCACCCTGGCCTCCAATAAAGTTTTTATTTTAAAATGAATACAAGTCATAGACGCTGTTTTTTGCCAATGCGAGGACAAATATAGATTAAAATGTCGAAAAAATGTGGACAAACTAAAGATTTTAATACTGACACGAACTGAAAGGTTTTATATATAAACGTTTATTCTCGGGTTTATTGCTTTATTTTATTTATATATTTGTTATTTATGCATTCCAATATCACAATGAAGTTTTATAAATTTTTGAACTTTGAATTCAGTTTTGGCGCTATCATAAGATATTTTGAGGACAACTGGGAATTTATGGGCATCAATTTGATTTTCTAAACCAATAAAACCATGAACTGAAGAATTTAATACAGAAAGAATGCAATTAGTATGTGATGATGTCTTCAGGACTTTATACCTGTGCATAAATCATAAGCCAAAGAAACAGAAGGCAAAGCTCAGGCAAAATGCAAAATCATTAGCTTGTACCTCAAAGGGCTATAAAAGTTTTTAGTATTTTTAATTGCATCCATGGACCCCTGGTCATTGTAATGAGTAATATTTATCCCTCCGTACGCTCCATTATTCCTGATTAGCCTAACAAATAAACATGGCCCTCTTGGAGGTTGATACCATAAACAGAAAACTATTAAAGTGGCTGGAGCTTGAAGACACCCTGCTCAGTCAATGCATGTTTATATTTATTTCTTCGATAAATATAACAATTGGTAAAAACACAATTAAGCGAACAAGAAAATCAGTTAACATGGCAATTAAGAATAACAATGCACATTCATCACAACATGTATAATGTGCTGTATTCATCTCAGTTCAATGTTCCAGCAATTTGCATGACAAGTCATCTCTTGCTTTATTATTCATGGCATGCTCATCCTGAAAAATGAAAATAGAGATCTCATCGAGATATATTCACAAGGTGCAAGAGGCTAAGAAATTAATTGTAAGCCATGATAATTGCATGATAAATTGGCAGAAAAGATAATATATTAACTAAGCTTTAACAGCCACTATCAGAAGTTGCAATTTTACACTGTTTGCCACAAAATTGTATTACTTTGTATCAGCACCCAATGAGCACCTTTGTCAGTCATATCATGTTAATTGTTATGATGTTATCATCACATCATCATGTTAATGATGATGGGAGGGGATCAATAGACTAATACATTCACTGGGGGAATGGTTTACCTATTGGCATATTAAATGTAAGTAAGTTACTGCTTGCACAAAAACACTCCACAAATCCTATTTCATAGATGCTTGCTATATCATAAAAACAACATAGATGAAACTCAAAAGATTTACACTGCCAAGAATTTAATTCCCACAATTTTTTGCCCACTCAAGTCAAGAGAAAGTAGTCACTCTTCTCAAATGACTGAAATGAGGTGTCATGAATCCACTCCAATGCCTGAATGCCATAAAATGAAATGTGGACCTGAACAAGAAGTTGCATAACTTACATTGCACTGTAATTAGCTCGTGTACCAAAGGTCGAAAATACGATAGTATATTTGCTGTTTATACGATACGTTTTGATGGATTTAAATCATTGTAATAATGGCTCAGAAGCTTTGGTAGTCAGACTAGTGATAAATATGTAATCCAAAGACAAAAAATCCCGAAATTATTATAAAAATGGCTTACCTGAATGCTAAATGAGAAAAAATTACCCTCCCCACATCGTTTGAGCAAGAAGCCACTTCTTCGTTCAATTTTTTTGAACCGAAGAAAAAATAAACAAAAATGAAATACGAAAAAATATATACGGAAAGCTGAAAATATTTTCATAAAATCCAGGAGGGAGACGGACACAGTTTTTCACCTTGTATCGCGGTATGTCAGCTCCGTTACGTTCCCTCGAGCAAGAAATATTCTAAAAGTATGTCCTTGATTTTTTTCGTCCCATTCTGTATTTACGCGTGGTCCCTACTCGACCAGATTAAAAGAAAATTAGCCGAAATCTCCAAAATTCTAATTGTACTTTTGAATTCCCTGGAGGTGTAGAAAGAAAAATTTCAAAATCGTTTTTAATTATAAATTGCCCCCATAAGCGTAATTTCGCATATAATCTCTGTGTCAGTACATCGTCGTCAAGCGAAGACCAAAGCAACTCTCCAAAAATGTGCTTTGCGGAAGGCTACTTCTTGCAGGATTTAATTTTTTTTTGCAGCATTTGCAACACACGGCACAAAATTTATTCCTTTTTATTCCTTTTTATTTTTGATGGCATTAAAAACAAGCAAAATACCAAAAAAAAGTTTGGCTACCATGTTTTTGTTTATATATTTAAAGGTCCGCCGTGTAGTGCGCGAAATATATTCGTGGGGTACACGCAAGCCGAACTAGCGCATGCGCAACAAATTTCCCAGCTGTTAGTGGCGTCAGCAAACGCCGAAATCCGCCATGTTTTTTGCTTCACTTTCTGGCCAAGAGCCGGTCCTCCAGGAATTATTATATAGCTCAGTGAAATGTACACGATAGTTTCACGTGATGTGAACACAGCATAATATTGTGTATAACTTTTAGGTGAATCCGTGCGAGGGATTGTAAATGTAGTGTTGTTTGCTATGATTGGGAGATTTTATATGTTTATCTCGATTTTATTCATATTATTTTATAGATTTGGTGGTTCTTAAAAGAACTGGGGTTTTTTAGGTCTTTATCGTTGATCTTCTAACAGCGCCCCATATGCCTCAACTTAAACTTTTGCGCAATGCCGATGAGCATTTACCTCGGTTATGTGATTTCCACATGTCTCGATTGAGTCGAGCATATAGAAAAGATGATCTGCTCTAGGACATCCAAGATCTTCTAAGTTTATATTTGGTATTTGGAGTCCCTTGAGAAGTTCTATATTGCCTACGATATTTTGTAAAGTCGCTAGCGGTACAGCGTCTCAGCTCCGGAACTCCGAATGGGAGTTTATGAATCTTTCGCCGAACATGTCTTGCGACCTTTGGTAGACAAGTTTGACTAATTTAGACCAATGTCGAAGAACCATGATGACGCTTTAACATCTCCCCGTCTCATTTACAATCCCTCGCACCGATTCACCCAAAGGTTATATACACAATAATGACAATATTATGCAGTGTTCATATCACGTGTCCACACGTGAAACTATCGTGTAGTTATTATGTAGTTACTATAGTTACTATATGTAGTTATCATTTAGTGTGACGTCATTATCCGCTAATACATAACACATGCTCACGTGGAACTATCGTGAATTCCCACATTATGTTCTCGTGGCAACTTACTGTGACGTCATTAGCGGCATCCGTATATGGAGGGGGGGTTCTACATTCCTTTCCTGGCGATGCTTTTAGCTAAAAAATAGAAGAGGTATGATCAAACTACATTTAGTCACTGAGTAGAAATTAGATGTTTTACCTTCTTTGGGTTTTCGTTTTCGAATGATCAAAACCAAAACTACGACGACAAACACAAAAGCAACAATAGCAATGATGATAGAAATCGTCTCTTTGTCGAAAACATCTGTAAATACACCAAAGAAGTTGTTTAAAAAAAGAATGCAGAAAATAGAGTTGTATAACAAACAAGCAAAATCTATTTGGAAACATTTTGAAAATTTTGCGCGATCCACCCTGATGTAACAAGACCGAGTCAAGGTTACCTGAGCAATGTTTCATCTCACATACTTGAACCCGATAAGCTGCTCCCTGCTTACTACAATTCTCACTAAACTCTTCAGAGGGTATATCACACAGTCGCATCCATATTTCAACACCTTGACCACACGTGACACTGCACGGGGAGGACTTTGTCCAGTTGCCATGAATACCAGCAACTGCAAAGTGAAAATTGGAAAAAAACACAAACAGCCGCGAGTTCTAATTCAGCTAAATGTCTCATTAAAAATTGCATGTGTGTATGTATGTGTGTATGTATGTATGTATGTATGTTATTCCTGATGAAATCCCGATTCTGTAAGCACTGGGTCAATAATAAGTAGATTTCTGCACTGAAAGTTAGAACTGAAAGAGATGACTATATAGTGAGGTAGAAATAGGTTGAAGAAGCCCGAAGGGCAAAAGAATATCATGAGATTACTTTTTAGCAGTATTTAGCAGTTAGTTTGAGCCTTACTGAGACAACGTTTTCTTCTACATTTCCTTAACTCAGCCGAGTTTCCTAGCCCACTGCAGTTACGGCCTCCGTATTTTGGTTCTGGATTATCACAACTACGGTGCCATTTTTCTACTCCTTCACCGCAAGAAACATTGCAAGGAATACTCAAACTCCAGTTGCCATACCCGCCACTCACTAGTAATAACAACATTAAAATGTTATAATATTCTTGTATGTTTGCATGGTGACATCAATAAGTAAATTAGCTTGTAGGTATTATAAAGTTAGTAAACAACTTGAACGTGGGATGGGACGTGTAAGTAATTTCTACCCGAAAGTGAAAAAACTTGAGGCGTAATGCCAGCAAATACAGCCTGAGAAATTGAAAACTATTCTGGGACTTGAACTATTGCTATTCGTAATTTCCTCGCGTACATGTTGATTACAAGTACATTTTTTCACTTTGGAAGCTTGTATAAAAACTATATTGGTTTGCGAACGTAACTAAAACCGACTAAATTCTGTTTACGCTTATGTTGGTTCTTACAGCACCTTTGCGACTATATGTCATCGGCTAATTTCGGCATGCTTTGACAAAATAATTCCCTTACCTGGGCAGGGTTTAGCTAAACAAGGTCTGTATACGACTGATTCTCCGATGTTACTACAGTTTTTTCCATGAAACTTTGGCTCAGGATTGTTGCAAACTCGTTGCCATGTTTCAAAACCTTCACCGCAACTTACATTACAACTATTTATTAATGAGAGGTTGCCATAATTACCGTCAACTAAACAAAATAATTTAACATATTGGTTTTGAATACAAACAAATTTTTATACCCAACAAAACAAACGTGACACATAGTTATACCGCTACTTCTTTCGGAAGTTTAATGCGTTGAAAAAAAAGTGTATTGAAAACAACACATCTATATTTTCACCTTTCACATGTGCATGGGAAACGAAGATGAACTTCTTCACACACGTGAAATAAACCCCACGATACCTGGTGTACACTTAGGGATATCACAGTACTCCCATCTCTTGCTCCTCTCGGCAGTAAAACACCAAGGTCGCTGCCCTGAGTTCTTGGGATTACGACATAATTCTTAGCGTTATTTAATTCGGGATATGTGGTGTTCATGGTATGACGATGTGGACATTGTTCCGTCCATGACTGACACGGAACACCGGAGGCTGTCACTGATATATTGCCATGGTAATTGCTTCCGTTTAAGTAAAGGCAATCTGGGTAAAAGGATACACATATGAAAAAATGTTCAGGTTCAATTGGGCACAAGCCGCTTAAACGGTACAGATCAACAAGAAGTATACTAACACCACTGTATAAGCCGGAATAGATGACATCAAATTGGAATCAGTTATTTTATGTTAACAATGAGTTTATTATCATTTTCAGTGAATTATTTCAACTGCTGCCCGTGTGTTTAATTACGCCTTCTGTAATTATACCTATGATGGCTTAGGACTGTTAAATTTGATTTTTGAATGTAGAAAGTTGTTTAACTATCCGCCATGTTGTTTATTTTTGCAGAAAATATTTAACTGTATCACTCTTAACCAATCAGCAACCAGCAATTTTGTCATGCTAATAATGAGGTTTCTTAACAAGCAAACAATAAACACCAAAAATCTCTATCATTTTAAGCAATGATGAAAGTATAAACGCCTCCTTGGTTCTGCCTGTCAATCAATCTCGATTAAGGCAATATTAGTTATTAGGTTTAGATGTGTTCAAATGTTAAAATGTGTTCAAATTGAAATTTTTGAGATCGAGTAACTGAGCTGGCAAACTATCACGTTCAAAAGCTAAAGCAACTGGCATCTTTGAACAAAGTGAAATTTACTAATGATTCAGCGTAGAAGATAATATACCCGAAGTGCTCTTGGAACAACATTCCGCTAATATTGTGTTGTATTGTGCTTATAGTATACTTCTATAAAGAAGTCAGAAATTTCCACGTTTGTGATACCAAGTATTAAATTATATCTGTTCCATTTGGTAAAGTAAAATGAAAATAATTGCATACATTTTTTTCACACTTACCCAAATTGCCTGTCGATTCAACTTCTTTGGGTGTATCTATACAATGTGGAATTTAGGAAAATTGGGAATACATGTCGAGGTCTTTGAGTAAGCAAAACTTTGCTCTGGGCTGAAAATGTTTAAATTTTAAAGGCCCTGTTACACGGTGCAATTCTTCTTACAATTCAATGCAATTCTACTTTTGAATGATGTAAATTTGGAAATTACCAAATTTTAATTTTGATTACACTCTATAAACGTTCTTACCATAACAAATTGACACTTCACTAATTTACATCCCACTAAATTGAATTGCATTGCAAGTTGCAAGAAAAATTGAACCGTATAACAGGGCCAAAAGTGAAAAATCTTTCAAAATTGAAAATCGGGTTTTAAGCTTTGCATATGAGAAAGGAATTATCCACAGCCTTTTTTCATTTTTAAAACACGGTTTGTAACATTTAGGCTTTATTAGCTTCTGATTAGAGCAAAATCTTCCGGAAAAATTATTTTGGTTCAATTGAACAAAAGAAAGAAAAAGGAGAAAGATAAAAGTTTTAAAGGAAAAATTCATTTTTTTCTTACTTTACTCCTCCATAAAACTTCGTAGTACGTTTTACAATTTACGTAAATAATCAAATCACTTTATAACCACGTGCAATGCATAACATAAATTACCTGTTAAGTTTTCAAAATCTTCGTACCAGCATTCTGGAGATTCACCAGCATTCCTGTATGGTTGTAGCTCCCCCCGGGCCAGTTTCTTCCTTTCCGGAAAGCGAATTATCGCAAATGTTACAGTTACTTCCACTATTTCATGGCATAAGTGTTAGCATTATGGTACGATTCGCGGCAAACTTTTTGCTCTTGATAGTCGCTTTGCGTTCGGTCACAAATCGGAAAATGAAAATGACAGCTAATTGTACTAAGGACGTAAATACATTTGCGTATTTCGTTGATATTCATATTAAAATAAAGCATTATTTTTGAGTTGCCCAGCCTTTTTAAATCATCTTCAAACGTATTCATATGGTCGTTTTCACGAGCTTGATAATACGGAGCTCTATAGACGTACTTTGGTAACAAGATACCATGATTTTCACAATAAGACCGAGTAAAATTTACCAAAGGGTAACACGAACTTGAATTGAGTATCGGCTCAGCTTCGACAGGAATACATGTTCTAAACAACAAACGATCTTTAAATATTTTTCATGGGACATGATAGCTCTGACTTAATTTTAACATTGTTTGCACATGATCGCAGAAGGTTATAGAGTATGTAATTGTCAACAAGTATAAACTAGCTCTCTTTCTATAAAACTGGCCGTTTCGTTTATGTTAATGCAACAGCATGCATCTACAGTAAATTTTAAGTAGGAAAAAAAAACTACTTTTACCTGTTGCTAACGCTGTCTTGAAAACGATGTTGAACTACAAGTTAAGTAAATATAGAAACATGACTGTATTGCATGATTTCCCTGCAATTCTAGACAGGTAAAAGTACTAATAAGTACTTAAATAGAAAAAAAATTTTTGGCAAAATCATGCGTATGAAGAATCTTTAAAAAAGGAATGAGAAAAGCCGGAATCTTTAAAACAAGGAACAAGAAAACCCGGATTCTTTAAAACAAGGAACGAGAAAAGTCGGAATCTTTAAAAAAAAGAATGAGAAAAGCCGGAGTCTTTAAAACAAGGAACAAGAAAAGCCAGAATATTTAAAACCAGGAACGAGAAAACCCGAAATCTTTAAAACAAGGAACGAAAAAGCCGGAGTCTTTAAAACAAGGAACGAAAAAAGTCGGAATCTTTAAAACAAGGAACGAGAAAAGCCGGAATCTTTGAAACAAGGAATGAGAAGTTGTTGATTTTTGTATGCGTTTGTATTACGGCCGGAAGTTTGTAACTAATGTAACACGGTTTGTAACACGGTTTGCATATGATAGCAGCTGGTTAGAGTGTATACGTAATTGTCGACAAGTATGAACTGGCTCTCTTTCGATAAAATTGGCTGTTATATGGAACATAAACTGAATTATTTTGTGGGGAAGGAATATATAATACATGGAATATACTAATACGTATGTAATTATGCAAACGCTGAAACGAACACAAGGTTCATAGCTACATCCGGTCCGGTGATGTGTAAACGCAACTCCGTTTTGATACTTTTTTGCACCGTTTTCAGACCGATACGGAGTAGTGTAAACGTAGCCTAAAGGCTGTTTTCCACTTACGCGTTTTTTATAAGCACTTACACGTACAGAAATTTAATGCTTTTAAATTTTTTATTTAACATCTATGGCAACTAATGCACACTAAAATATGCGGAAAGCTAAGTCCCTTCGATTTATTCACTCAGTTTTTTCAAAAGTAACATGTATAAGGATTTGGACTTTTACGTGCGTGTACGTGCGTATCAAAACGCGTAAGTGGAAACAACTCTAATTTAGATACAAACTTCCGGCCGTAATACAAAAGTGTACAAAAATCGACAACAAAATACTTGCTCCAAAAATGCTTCAAAATCGTAGACCATCCATTTGAATCAAAGTTTTTCTTTTCCGAAGGCAGCTTTTACGACCTGAGATTTTAATTACGCCCGATACGAAATCAAAGTTTTCCGTGATTATGTCATGAAGGTTTTGCGTTTTTGCAAGTTATGCGCATAGTGAGTTTAAGACGAGTTAAAACTGGTAACTAGGAAACGTTTGCAAGCGTGCGATTTGCTAATGTAAAATTTTTGCTTGCGTCAGCATAACTGATATTTCTGAACTATAAAATGGGCGTGATCAATGTATGTGGTTTTTCTAAATTGACTACATCGTCATATTTACTTTACGTGTATATTGATGAAAACGCCGGGATTTAATAATAAATGTTGGGTCTAAACTAGTTACAATGTCAACAATTTATGCATATAGACTAAATTTAAAAGTATAAAACACATGCAATTAAATTTAAATCCTAGTATACTTTATACATATCGTAGCTAACTACCGCATGGAAAAACTAAACAGTAACAAATTGTCCTGCGAGGGTGTAGCGAACTGGGCTACATTGACGAATTCGTACGAGGATTTAACAAACTTTGACATTTCAGAACAACAGGAGCGAGATTTGACGGCGAAGTAATAGTATGTAAAATAATTTGTATTTTTATTAGTAAAATTCTTTATATTTCTTTAATTATTTCTGATTTGCCGTGAATAAATCCTGGAAGGCAGAAGCTCCATATTAAAGACGCGCCGGAGTTAACGCCAGAACTGGCATCTTGTTTTTTTTTTTTTTCATCGTCGCAAGTCTGTAATGGCGCGAAATAAACTAGTATTTGAAACGTGTATGTGACCGTATTTATCTACGTCCCAGTCTTTTCTCCTAAGAGTTGTGGTGCACAGCTTTGGCTAATTTTCCGATGCGCGATTCGATTTCGCTAGCATGATACAGCAATTCCTCGAAGAGGAACTAATAAACCGTTCTTTTCATGTTGTGCGATTAAGTTTAGATTGAATTGGGGTAAGAATATATTTAATACATGTGGATTCTGGTCCTATTTTAATAATATCGCTGCTATTTCGCCGTTTAACAAGATGATGTGGGCCATGATGTGGTCGTGTATGGGCGCGTTGACACGTCGTAGTTTGCACAGGATTGAAGATTTAATATAACTATATATATAAACGCAAATTCCAAAGGAAAAATGTAAGACAAAGCGAATGTATCATGCAGTTTATTTACATCTTTGAACAATTGAATTTCTAAACTAATTTAGTAACCAGCTTCCGGCCGTATGATACAAAAGTATACAAAATTCGTAAACATCGCATGACTATATTTTCCGTGATTTCCAGAAATTCTCAGCCAACTTTGCATTTACTAATTTTAGTAACCTCTTTCAGAAAATTTCCTTTTTTATTACCGGGGTAAAAAATAAGTCTTAAGCACCAGTCGTCTATTGTAGGGTCAAATTTTAGGGTACGAACGCCGAGCATGCAACGATACCTTCAAAGCCAGAAACAGGAAGCGTACTTTTTATACTGTTCTTGCGTGCATAAAGCTTTCAGAAAACACAGTATGTCGTGAAAATGTGTCAAATGTCATGTTTGTGTTGTGTGTGTATTTTATATTCATATAGTTATATTCATTTATGTGGAAATAGAGTAACTTGAAAACAGGGGAAATAATGCGCGCAAACAAACGCACGTCCAACCACGAAGAAGGAAACCGCCTGTCCCACACGCTAACGCAAACGGATGGAAGAATGGGGGCAGTGCGGTTAGAGAGTTAACCGCGTTGCGGGAAAAAAACATCCTGGGACGTGCATAAATTGCGCAAAGGAAATTGATGTCAAAATGGAATAATATCCCCTATAGCTTTAGTATAAATATATGTAGAATTGTAAACTTTAAGTTAGTGTTATTAGGAGAGTTGTATTGTGTGGTGTGTTGTCACCGTAACGTCAGAGTGAGTGTGTCTTTCTTAAGCGTGTCGTCTTAAGAGTATTGTGTCATCGACGTGCACTAAGTGTGTACAAAATATATACCTGTACATAGAGTGTTAATAAAAGTTAAAAATACAGTCCCCGAGTTGTGGTATTCGTTGAATCTGGTGCCAGCAGCAGCGTAACTTGCAGAGAGGCGAAGTTGCGCGACACGTGGTCCTTCGAGCCGGATACAAGCAGATTCAAGAATTCAGCAGAAATCGAGTATCGAAGTGTAGCTATGTCAGGTATATCGAGAAAACGGGCAGAGAGAGGCGGGCATCGAGCCTACGTCACCAGGAGTTTGGCACGGGCCAAAACTCTAGTAGAAGAAGTCACAGGAGAAAGTGTGTTGGAGCTTAATACGTTGAAGCTCAGCTTATCAGATAAGAGAGAAACAATAAAGAAGCTAGATGAGCAAATTTTAGGACTCATTGAAGATGACGGAGACGTCGAAGCGGAAATAGAGTCAGCGTCGAAAACGTCCGACGAGATATACGAGGGGTTAGCGGCGATTGAAATGGCCATAAAAAGGGTCGAATATCGAATCGGCAAGCCGGTCGCAACAAGAAACATCGAGGGCCAAGGCTAGCGCTCAAGCGCGGGTAAAGCTTCCTAAACTCGAAGTTCGGAAGTTCTCGGGAAAAGTACAAGAATGGCCAGAGTTCTGGGACGCCTTCAGCAGCGCCATTCACGAAAACGAATCCTGTCGGACGTAGACAAGTTCACTTATCTGCGAGGGTTGCTCCAGGAGCCTGCAAAATCGGCGATTGCAGGGTTTGCGTTGACGTCCATAAACTACGAAGCGGCCGTAAAACTTCTCGAGCGACGATTCGGTAATAAGACAATCGTACAGCGGGCGTACATCAACGATTTGCTAAATTTGAAGCCAGTGTTCAATGGGAACGACACAGAACGTTTGCGCAAGTTTTTCGACGTAGTTGAAACCAATTATCGGGGTTAGAGGCGCTCGGTGTCAAAGAGGAAGTCTACTCGGAGATCGTAGTACCGTCGATCCTAAATAAGCTTCCAGAGGTCGTTCGACTGACAATAACGAGGGGTGAGAAGTATATGGAATGGACAATGAACGACGTGGTCAAAGCATTGTTGGCAGAGATAGAATTGCGTGAGTGCCATGATTTAACCAGCCAGACAACCAACCAAAAGGGAGAATATCAGGGGCGACGCCGTCTACCGGGAACAATTAACACGTTGTTAACAAAGAAAAAGGACTTTTCTGTGCTTATTGCACTGGAAATCACAAGAGCGAGGAATGTAGAAAGGTCACGGACAGAAAGGAGAAGTTAGAACTATTACGTAAGTTTAATAGATGTTTTAAATGTATAAATAAGGGTCATGTAGCTAAAAATTGTCGTGCACGTAATAGTACTTGTCATGTATGTGGCGGCCCGCACCATGTTTCGATCTGTGAGAAAGAGTGTGAGGGAGGTAGTGGCAACCAGAGTAAGGAAGACGAGAAAAGCAGGGAAGAGCATGCAGACCAGGCAGAAAATGGCCATAAAAGCCTTCATGTAGGTACAAGTTGTAGAGTTGCCTACAAACAGCGCAAGGTATCTTGAAGGGTGAAAGAGAGAAAAGAGTGAGAGTGCTTTTTGACTCAGGTAGCCAGAAATCTTTTGTAACATCCAGGGCAATGAATGACGCAAAGTTGCGTGTGATTAGAAATGAATGGCTTGCGATTAATACGTTTGGTACGGCGGCGGACAAAGGGAAGTCAAGGAAGGTTGTTGATTTTGAAATTGTGTCGAAACGTGGCGATCGGAAGTTGCGGGTAGAGGCGTTGGTTGTGCCGGAGATCTCGCGAATTAGGAACGAGCATCTTGAGGTTGTTAAGGGTCAGTATCCGCATTTGCAAGGTTTGTGGTTGTCGGATGTTTGTAAAACGGGTGAGATGTTAGAGATTGATGTGTTGATTGGGGCAGACAATCTTTGGGCCTTTCAAAGTGGGAAAGTTTTGAAAGGTGGTGATGATGACCAGTTGCTGTTGATACGATGTTAGGTTGGGTGATTAGTGGTCCACTGCTTGGGAGCTCAGAAAATGAAATAGCTAACGTTAATCTTGTTTCACAGGGCGGAGAACAAAACGAGTTAAGTTCAATAGGAGCGGATATAGAAAACTATGGGATTTAGATACCTTAGGGGTTAAGGAATGTGATGACGTGCATGAAGCGTTACTCGACAAGATAACATTTAACGGATCAAAATATTCGGTTAAGTTGCCGTGGAAACAAGGTCACGATCATTTGCCATCCAATTATTCGAACAGTTTGGCTCGCATGAAGGGACAGATAAAACGACTTACATCTGAACCAAGTTTGCTAAGAGAATACGATGCGATAATAAAAGAGCAGGAAACCCTAGGTATAATTGAGAGGGTGGGGGAACTGGAAACAAAGGAAAGAGTGCATTATTTACCCCATCAAGCGGTTGTACGTAGGGACGCAAAAACCACAAAATTACGTATTGTTTACGATGCGTCGTCAAAGGAGGGTAAGAAGGGAACATCCTCAATGATTGTCTTCATGTGGGCCCTTCACTGACGCCATTGTTATTTGATATTTTACTAAGGTTTAGAGAAAACCCAGTAGTGTTAATCGGTGATATAGAAAAGCATTTTTGAATGTAGAAGTAGCACAAGAGGACCGGGATTATTTGAGATTTTTGTGGGTAAGAGATGCTGTAGGAGGTAATTTAGAAATTTTAGTATACAGGTTTTGCAGAGTAGTTTTCGGGTTAAATGCATCCCCATTTTTGTTAAACGCGACCCTTAGACATCATATTGAACAGTTTATGAGAGCGATCCAATCTTTGTTCAGAAACTCAAGGACGGTTTCTACGTAGATGATCTAGTTTCAGGAGGTAGAGTAACTGAAGAAGTTAGAGATTTGTATGAAAAAGCCAAAAATCGAATGGCTATGGGGGGATTCAAACTGCGCAAATGGATGACGAATGACGCAGCACTGCGAGAGCATATAGGCAAAAACGAGAGCCAGGCTAAAAGGATAAGGTCACAAGGTTAGACGACATTGAGACGTATGCGCAGGCAAGCTTAGGAATTGCGCAAGATGGAAATAATGATAAAGTATTAGGGATCAATTGGGATTACGAAAAGGATATTATTATGTTTGATTTTTTGAAATTAGTAGAGAGTTTCAAGGAAGAGAAATTCACAAAAAGAAAATTACTAAGTGCGTTGGCCAAGATATTCGACCCGCTAGGCTTGGTTAGTTGCGTAGTTGTTTTTATGAAGATCCTATTTCAGAAGTTGTGTGTCGACAACTTAGGCTGGGATGAGGAATTAGTTGAGCAAAACTCAAGGGAATATTTAAACTGGATTGAGGATTTGGAAAGAGTAAAATCGATTACGTTAGATAGATGCGTTTACAATAATATAAATGGCGAAATTCAGTCGTGTGAACTGCATGGATTTGGCGACGCAAGCGAGAAAGCTTATTGCGCCGTAGTTTATTTTGTGTGCCATACATCAACAGGAGTTTATGTCCAGTTGTTGACAGCAAAAACCAGAGTTGCACCGCTTAAGACTCTTACAATACCGCGACTTGAACTTATGTCAGCACTGATGTTAGCTAAATTGGTAGATTCCGTAAAGAAGGCTCTTGCGACGCAAGTTAAGTTTACTAACGTTAGATATTGGTTAGATAGCATAACGGCCTTATATTGGATCCAAAATCATGGCGAATGGAAACAATTTGTACGCCATAGGGTAAATCAAATTCTAAATCTGAGCGATAAGGGGAGTTGGAGCCACTGCCCGGGGCTGGAAAATCCCGCAGATTTAGGAAGTAGGGGAGTATTAGCATCTAAGTTGCAAAACGATTCATTGTGGTGGACTGGGCCACAATGGCTGAGCAGCGGGGAAAGTGCATGGCCAGAAAAGGGGAAAATTATTGCCACAGAAGGTAGTAAGGCAGAGGAGAAGAAAGCAACTGTGCTAGTTGCGAATACGAAGAAAGTTGCATCAGTAGGCAACATAGTTAATATAGAAAGATATAGTTCTCTAGAGAGATTAGTACGTGTGACTGCATGGGTGCAACGATTTGTACGGAAATTGATTGCGAAAACAAAGGGGAAAGAAGAGTTTGCAAAATCAGATTATTTGAAACGTGAAGAATTAGTAGCAGCAGAAAGACTTTGGGTAAAAGCCTCGCAAGTAGAGTTGAGAGAAGATGAAAAATATAAGCAGTTAGAAAGGCAGCTTAGGTTAGTTGAGGAAGAAGGAATAGTGAAATGTCGAGGAAGATTTGCAGAGTCAGACTTAAGCGAAGACGCCAAATACCCAATGTTATTACCAAAGGAAGGTAGATTGACGGAGTTAGTAATTATTAACTGCCATAATAAGATACATCACAGTGGGGTAAGGGCAACGTTAGCGGAAATACGATCACGTTATTGGATTCCCAAGGGTAGGCAAAGGGTTAAAAGTATCATAAACAAATGTATGGTGTGTAAGAAATTAGAGGGAAAGCCTTATAGCGCACCAAAGGAAGCTGATCTTCCGGAATTCAGAGTAAAAGAAAGCGAACCATTTTCAAAAACTGGGATAGATTTCGCCGGACCATTGTTTGTCAAAAATGCGACCAACGGAACCGATAAGGTTTACATTGCCTTATTTTCATGTTGTGTGAGTAGAGCATTACATTTAGACTTAGTGAGAGATTTGTCAACACAAGAATTTTTGCGGTGTTTGAGACGATTTTCAGCTCGCAGAGGAACTCCGGCACTGATAGTAACCGACAATGCGAAAACATTTAAAGCCTCCGCCAAAGCCGTGAAAAAACTATATAAGTGCGAGACCTTGCAGGGTTTCTTAGGAGTCAACAGGATTGAGTGGAAATTTAACTTAGAACGAGCTCCCTGGTGGGGTGGATTTTTCGAACGGATGGTGCAGTCGGTAAAAGATGTTTGAGGAAGGTGCTGGGGAGTGCGAGACTGACCCTTGATGAGTTGTTGACGATGTTAGTGGAAGTTGAGGGGACGCTCAACTCTAGGCCACTAACATATGCTTATGACGAAGTTGGTAGTGAACCATTGACGCCGTCTCATTTGTTGGTTGGTAGGAGACTGAAGTCAATGCCGGACGGTGTGGTTGGTGAGGAGTCGGACGAGGAATACTGTAGTAAACGGTTTAGGTATTTGTGTAGAAAAAAGCAGCATTTTTGGAATAGGTGGCGTAAAGAGTATCTTACTGATCTTAGAGAATTCCATCGTGGAAATCAAGAAGATAGTAAGAGGGTGGTAAAAAAGGGAGATGTTGTGGTTGTATTTGAGGATAATGTGAGGAGAGGAAATTGGAAGACGGCTGTTGTTGAAGAGTTGATTGTTGGAAGAGATGAGATGATCAGGGGTGCAAGGGTTAGGTTGATACGCAACGGTAAAGAGGTCATTCTTTCTCGCCCTGTCCAGAAACTCTATCCAATCGAGGTTAATCATAGCCAGGAAACAGAGAAGCAAAATAAGAAAGATAGATTAGAAAAGGGAAACAAAGCGAATGCTGAAAGTGTGAGGCGAGAAGGGAGACCAAAAAGAGCAGCAGCATTAGATTCAGAGTGGAGAACGAGAAACATGATTAATTGACTAGCTGCGCTAGTCAAGGCGGGGAGTGTGTCGTGAAAATGTGTCAAATGTCATGTTTGTGTTGTGTGTGTATTTTATATTCATATAGTTATATTCATTTATGTGGAAATAGAGTAACTTGAAAACAGGGGAAATAATGCGCGCAAACAAACGCACGTCCAACCACGAAGAAGGAAACCGCCTGTCCCACACGCTAACGCAAACGGATGGAAGAATGGGGGCAGTGCGGTTAGAGAGTTAACCGCGTTGCGGGAAAAAAACATCCTGGGACGTGCATAAATTGCGCAAAGGAAATTGATGTCAAAATGGAATAATATCCCCTATAGTTTTAAATATATGTAGAATTGTAAACTTTAAGTTAGTGTTATTAGGAGAGTTGTATTGTGTGGTGTGTTGTCACCGTAACGTCAGAGTGAGTGTGTCTTTCTTAAGCGTGTCGTCTTAAGAGTATTGTGTCATCGACGTGCACTAAGTGTGTACAAAATATATACCTGTACATAGAGTGTTAATAAAAGTTAAAAATACAGTCCCCGAGTTGTGGTATTCGTTGAATCTGGTGCCAGCAGCAGCGTAACTTGCAGAGAGGCGAAGTTGCGCGACACAGTATACAAGAAAAACTACGTGGTGTTACCTGCAATCCTTGAATTGAAGATCGTTGCAAGAATCAGTACAGTACAACTGCCATCAATACAACGGCGCATGGCGTACATCAAAACCATTTAGTTCCCGTTTATCAGTTAATATCTTCACCGATATAGCCAGGCTAATAAACTTCACAACAACTCCGCAAGTACAACCCTTTTCAGCCAAGTTGAGTCTACGTATACAATATGTTGTAGACTTACTTTTCAACCGTTGTAAGCGTCTACCGCAATAGTTCTCTCTCTATAACTGGGCATGATTTCCGGGTGGGGATTTTTTATTTACACTTGAATGACGTATATATGTGATAAAATTATTATAATTGAGACAAGTCGGCGAGGCTACTTCCGTGTACAAATATTAAATCTCTTCAAACAACAGGGGCGAAGACTGTAATCTTCAAAGTTTTTATGGCAAATTCTCAAGTGAAATGTCATATAGGCTCGTAAATAACCTAAATTTAGACTGCGATCAATTTTTAACGCTTTGTTTGCTGATGCGGTTCTATTTGGAAGTGTAGTGTTACTCCATGATAACATATCATATGTCACGTGCTGTCAAAATTGCTTTAAGACGACAGGATCTTATTGTTTTCACGCACCTTGGGCCGGTTGTATGAAAGCCGGATAGCGCACCAACGGATTGTGTTTTTTAAATAAAAATTTTATACGCAAATTGTAAATTTGCGGTTGATGGAGTAATATGTTCTAGAAGGTCCTATTTCACCCTACATATGGACCGTCTCTGGTCTAGCTGTAGTTATCGCATGCACTAATTTTAGCTTGGGCAAAGGTCAAGGCCTCAATAGAACAAGGCTGTTTTTACCAGCGATGTCAATAGTTATAAAGTCCAAAATCTGACAGAACTCTGGCATCTTAGCATGCGAACAACGTATGCAAACTTGTGTTACGGCCAATTGAATCTCCCTTGACGGTCTTCCCTTCACGTGGACAAGAACAATATATAGCCCTCTTTTTCTGCTAGGATTTTGGCTGCTCCCCATGCAGGCGTGCATTGGTCATTCTCAAGACCTCAGCCAATGCAACCACAACGCCGGTCAAATATTTAAAGGTCTTTTTTCGAAAGGCAGCAATATACGTATATCTGCATTTCAAAATAATTTTAATAACAAAAACTACAAAAATAAACTCCATCCACCTCCCCTAAACGAAGGACTGGCCGCTGTGGCATCCGCATGTAAATATACTGATACGTTATGTTCATTCATATGTTATCTCTAGATAGTCTATCGATATTCTTCTTGTGACTTTGAATGAATTGCAATGATTAAACAATGGCAGGAAGTGCTGTATTTCTGGACAACACCTCACCACGTGAAGTGCATTTGTCTCAGTATAGCTAATGGTGGTCCCTAGATTATCAGGTCTCAACTAACTGAGCAACATGCACAGGAAACACTTAGGTTAATTAGAGCCTCTAGACCTTTTATTCGAGCGCTTCCTGCCCAATTTATGTGCCACAAAAATGCCTCATGCATGCATGGTGTTGGTTCTTTGCTAAGTTGCCAGACGTACCGAAAATCCTTATAAAGAATTTCAACATATAAACTACATTAAAAGCTCTGAAATCGCCCGTTGTCGGGTATAACTTTGGTTAAATCCTATATTATTCCTAAATCGAGGATCCTCTTCAACAATTGTTGCTTCAAGGCTTAAATTTTATTGCTCTTCAAGCTTTTTTAGAACGGCTGAAAAAATCACTACCCGGCTTTTATACATCCGGCCCCAGTAAAGTTTTTAGCTCTATTTCAGCATCGATTTAAGTGTGGTTTATAAAACCAAATTATAATTATTAAATAATAAAATATTGTTGCGGGAGTATGATTGGTTTTACCTATAGTTAATAAAAATTGATTCTGGATCATCACACTTACGGCGCCACGAAACATTGCAAGGCATTCTGACATTCCAGTTGCCATAACAACCGTTTACTAGTAAGACAACCTGCAAATTAAAAGAAGTTAGAAAACAATTTGATCGTGGTGTGGCCAGTGTTGGTCATTTCTATGCGAGGGTGGAAAAGGTGGTAGCGTGAAAAAGCCATAAGCACACACGTAAATCGACACCGTGATTTCGGTCGGTTTATCCAGGTTTTGAGTGGAGGTTTTATCAACAATTGTCACTGACTGTATGCTTAGGTTTATGCAGATCTCAAAATTTTGATAAATCGACTAAAATCGCTGCTTGCGCCCGATTTTGGAATTATTCTAGCAAGATATATTACATATGTAACGAGCACTTGAACATTTTTTAATTCTTAATTCTCACGCGTATGCGTTGATTACAGAGGTCTTACAGCAACGTGGCGACTGTGCTAACCGCTTATTTTAGGCAGGCTTCAACAAAATAATTTATTTACCTCGACAGAGATCTGACAAGATCTGCATTCAACTGATCCCCCAATTTCAATGCAATTTTTCCCGCCAAAGTTTGGCTCAGGGTTGTTACAATCTGGTTGCCATGTTTCAAAACCTTCGCCGCAACTCATATTCCACTTTTCTTAAGGGCAAATTGCCATTATTACAGTCAACCAAGCAAAATGTAGTAAATGTACTGGTGCTGAAAACGAAAAGTTTTTAACCTAAATGAAATAAACATAGTAAAAGACAAAGCTGGGCTTTTTTTTACCCCCCCCCAAATCTCAGGAGTTTAAGCCTAAGCTGGATGTACGAAGGATGGATAGCGCTATCAACCAGTGTTTCACTATCCGGTGCATAGCGCTATCCAGCTTTCGTACAACCGCTCCCTGGCTTTTAAAATCAACACACTATGCTTGGCAAGCGTACGTCTCCATGCATGCGTCCCTTGATTCCTCTTGCCCAAAGATAAGGCTAATGTACAGAAAACGAAAAAGAAGTTCTTCAAACGCGTGAAACAAACTCGCGTTACCTGTTATATAAACATTTAGCGATATCACAGTATTGGCCCATCTCCGGGTCCTTTCTTTGGTAAAACACCAATTAAGGTCGTTGTCCTGAGTTCTTGCGATTACGACAGTTATTCTCGGCCATATTTAATTCTGGATATGTGGTGTTCATGGTATGACGATGTCGACATCGTTCTGTCCATGACTGACACGGAGTACCCGAGGCAGTCACTGATATGCTCCCATGGTAAATAAACTGCCTCCGTTTAAGTATAGGCAATCTACAGTGTGTATGAAAAAAATTCGAATCCAACTTTGACAGGCTGCTGCGTATAAAATACTAAAGTAAACGATATAATTTTTATATGACAACCAGTGGCGTAGCCAGCCTGACGATTTTGTCCCGCTATGTAAATTTTGAGTTATTATAATTATTCATGTCTTCAGAAATCTATTGTTTTCACAGTCAGTGAACACGAAAATATTAGCATAGCGGGACAAATCGACAGGCTGGCTACGCTACTGATGACAACAAAGATTAGCTTATTTAGTTTGCGATTATACCGTTCTTATATCGACACGACCAAAACTGGCCGAGTTATCTTCTTTTAAAAATTGTTGCTCGAAATCAAATTTTTCCGCCGATGGGAATTCGAAGTGAGACCTCCAGACAAAAGAAAATGCAAACTTGATCAATAAATGTTCGTTGTTCCATGCTTAATTGAAGAATTGTGTTCTTCAAAGCTAAATTTGCATTTTAGTTTTCAGTAATAATTAGATTTTCAAGCCCTTTTGGACTAATTTTCAATAAAACAAACGTCCAATTCCCATCGGCAGAAAATTATGATTTTTTTGAACTTTTTTTGTCGAACCAGTACTCCTTCACTTTTCAACTAAATGACACGTACAACGTGTCATTTGAAAGAGAAAAAAAAGAACTTCGCAATGGTGTAAAAATCAACCAAATTTCTCAAATATATTTTGCATTATTACACGCAAAATTTAGATTCGAATTTTTTTTATACACCCTGTATATGAAATCGATTAATCAATTGTTTGTAGCATCTGTATGCACAGTGCGTCATTCTTTCCTTTTTAGAACGATACGATATTCTGAAAATCATAATCACTGCGGTGAACTCACACTGGTATTGATCTACAGGGTGTCCCAAAAAAACGAAAACTATTGAAATCACTCATTGTTAAAATTTGAATGCCGTGTGCACGAATTTTAACCCGTGGGGATTTAATGCAACTCAGTGAAATGCTAGATGCTTTGTGTTGCTAGAGAAAGGGGACATGTCAAAGGTCATGGTGATTGAGATGCACATTTAAATATTGTTAGTAAATATCATTTTCGCGTACGAGCAAATTTTACTGCATCATATGCATGCATAAAAATGCTTATGGCAAACATTTACACACTTGTGGGTCCCAACAGAGTGCTTAGGCATTAAAACTCTAACAATTAC